CCCCCATGTCAAAAAAAGCCCGGTCTAGGTAGGGTTAACTTCCAGTGTACGTAAGTATAAAATTCCCAGTAGTTACAACTATGTCCTCAGATGTTGTTGTTTTTTTTCGTTCTTAATTATATGTCACAAGTATAGTGTTTTATAGTCCTATTCATTAATTCTTTATTTCAGGTAAAAACCCATATAACATGTACAATACATCATTAAAATAATACAAAAACACTACAGACATACAAGTAAAACAGGAAGAAACCTAAAAGCATAACAAATGGTAGGTCTTCCGAAAGAATGAATTCCTGTAGAAGGCATCGGAATGAATTAAGCGACAGATTGTTGCGTTATTGGAGGAAAATAACCTTTTTAGAAAAGAATAACAAATTCTCCTCCTCTTGGTTTCAAAAGTGTCAATATAGTTACAGACAAACATTTCACTCGCGCTGCAACGCCGAGGCAGATTCATTATGATTCTAAAACAATTGTTACAAGCCACTCTGCACTTATACAAAACACCAGAGCTTACAGAGCTCCATAACTGAGCGCCATATAGCTGGGCGCAATACGTCATAAACAGGTGTCTCTTAACAGATGGAGAGCAACAGAAAAATTTGCGGTTGATACTGTTTGCACGACTATAAAGACTCTTCAGCATAGCAAGTACACAATCATCGTCACTTAATGTGGTATTTAGGTGTATACCCAAATAGACAAATGAGTTTACATACTTCAGGTTGGTACCGTATAGACTTACGGGTGGCAATGGAAGCTGAAGTGGCAAACGAGTACATGGGAAATACATACAGAAAGTCTTATTAGTATTAAACAATATGTCATTACCAAGGCCAACCACTTCACAAATCCCAACCAATCTCTGTAGAGATTTAATGCTAGGGCAAATCAGACATACGTCGTCGGCATAAAACAGGTGGTTGGTGATGGACCCACCTACATAACAGCCCACCTTGGCATTGTTTAAGCTTACACTCAAATCATCTATGTATACATTAAAAAGATATGGGGACAGTTAACTACTCTGTCGTACTCTGTTAGTAACGGAGAAGCTCGGTGAAAGGACTGTACCCCATCTCACAAACATTCTTTGATTCGTATACCAAGAAACCAAGAATCGAACTAGATATAGCGGAACATTTCTGTCGATCAACTTTCTAAACAGTGTCCAGTGGTTTACGCGATCAAAGTATTATCGAACAAAGTAAATTTATAGAATTTCCTAATTAATTATGCAAATTAGCTGTTCCAGGATTGCATAGCCACATTTAGTGAAAATATGCCCAATTCCCAATTCAAAGAACCTTTGGGGAAAATATATATCTATTTGGGGATTTATAGTGCCTTTCCACATACTTTTACGTTCGTTCAACCCGGAAGTATGTACACCCCTCTGTAAGACGCCTAGAAAAAAAATGGAACAGCCCAAAAATACCTAAGCAACAGTCAAGGCAAGCCTGCAGAACACTGAAAGGGGTGTCCGAGGGCCGCAAAAGGTTTCATTGTTTTCATGTTCGCAGCTGATTCTCTGGTGAGCTGATTCGCTGGTTCGCAGCTGATTTTGGGCATACGTTTTGCTATTAAGCCGCATATGATGTACGTTATTTTGTTTTTATTACTACGTGAAGGAGGTCATGACCTTTGGACGGAGTATTGTGGGAAGTCGTGAGTATCGTGTTCGCAGCTAGATCACAGGGTTCCCATTGTTTAATTCTATACGTCGTGCAGGCATGCCCTTGGTAATGCACGTATTTTTATTTTTACCGTAGCTGTTTTCGTGGTCAATTTAATATTTCAAAAGCACCCCTAAATTTTAGAGGCACATGGGCCCGGCCGACAAAAAAAAAAAAAAAAACGTTTAGTTTTGAATAGCGGGGGGGGGGCCTTCAGGCAGATACGGATATTGGTTGTTGATTAAAACAGCTGTTTCGTCGACTGTAGTCGAAGTGGTGAGCCGTTCTCCAATGTGTTTGCAGTAAAAAGTCAGTGATGTCTTCGCTGTATTTCTTTGTAATTGGGCATGTGGTGTGTCGGTATATCCGTGATGTGCACGTTGTTTTCCTTTCACCGCAGCAGGTTTTATATTGAGTTAAATTCATATTTCTGAAACACCCCTATTTCTGTAATTCTGTGGAATATGGCTTAAGTAGCTGTGTGATAGGCGAGGTTTTGTAAGCAGATACTCGGTGGTTGTGCATAATCGTTTGCGAGTATCTGTTTGGGTTGTGACTTCTTGTGACTGTGATTGTGACTGATTGGCACCTACTACGATACCTTATCAAATAAATGATGTGTAAATGAAACATATTGTCATGAAATATGACTTTGTTTATCTGTTTAGATTGTCGTGTTGTTGATTATATGTATTTGCAAAATATAAAACTTCACGGAGAATGGTCGCCTATGGACACTTGTTGCCTTCGACGAGAAGGCTATGAAATCGTCTTGGCACTGTTTGGCAGATTATGCACGATAAATTTGGAAGGCATGGTCCGAGGTTCACGATTTTTGGCAGGCAGGTTGTCTTAGTGATTTTCAAAAGTAATGCTCCTCCCTGTTTCAGTGTCCGCAGATCCTATTAAAGTTTCCTTGCCTCAGATTTTGAATTCGACTTCTTAGGTAAATCCTGTGTGAAAATTACAAATATGACACAAGTGATATGTTGGCTTGTTTAATGCACAGAACTTCCGAACAATGGCATGTTCATTGCTTTTGCAGACATTGACGAATGTGTAACAGACAGTGATGGGTGTGACCAGATCTGCACCAACGTCCTGGGAAGTTACAACTGTTCCTGCCGACTAGGTTTCGCGTTGAAGGCAGATGGCCATGGTTGTGAAGGTGCAAAGATTTCGGATAGATTCATAGAATCTGATATAGAAGGGATTCTTTGCATTCCAAGAGTTGTATAAAAAACACGTCATTCTTGCCACAGTATTTTGAAGTTTCTTTACTACAATCTTTGCATTCGTTTTCCCCGATAATGCTGGGGTCACATTTCCAACCCGGGGCCTGGCCGGGTAGTCTTATGGAACCAAAAGTTTGATATAAAAGACAACAAAGCAAAAAAAGTTGAAAAAATTAATAACGGGAACTATTTGCGTATATTATTAATATAAATTGTTGATTTTTCGTTAATCGAAACAGCCCGGTTGGGCCCCGGTTTGGAAATGTGACCTCAGCATAACTCCTGTTTGAAAGTTGCAATATGTGATATGGCAGATGTTCTAAGGTGCTTTGTTGGTTAATTTCTATGTATAGTAATAGACAGAAATGTTTTTCTCGGTTTTGTAGACATTAACGAATGTGCAACAGACATTGGAGGGTGTGGCCAGATCTGCACCAACGTCCTGGGAAGTTACATCTGTTCCTGCCGACCGGGTTTCGCGTTGAAGGTAGACGGCCATGGTTGTGAAGGTGGGGAGATTTCGGATAGATTCATAGAATCTGATATAGATGGAATTCTTTGCGTTCCAATAGTTGTATCTAAAAAAACACGTCATTCTTGCCACAGTATTTTGAAGGTTCTTTACTCCAATATTTGCATTCGTCTTCCCTGATAATTCCTGTGTGAAAGTTGCAATATGTGATATGGCAGATGTTGTGAGGTGCTTTGTTGGTTAATTTGTATGTATAATCCTAGACAGAAATGTTTTTCTCGGTTTTGCAGACATTAACGAATGTGCAACAGACAGCGGAGGGTGTGGCCAGATCTGCACCAACTTGCTGGGAAGTTACAACTGTTCCTGCCGACAGGGCTTCGTGTTGATGAAAGACGGTCATAGTTGTGAAGGTGAGGAGCTTTTCGTATGTTACAATTCTTTTTTCACATGCAGGTACCAATGAATTTCTCTTTGGCAATCTTACTCTCACAGTTAAAGTTGCAAATGTGGGACTTAAAGGGAGATCTTCACGTCTTCGCCTATATGAAAAGAAGCAAGTGGCAAAAAACTCTATTACCAGCAATGTTGGCCAATTGGTGCCTTCTTTTTCACTAGTGTGCGGCCACTGCCAGGGCGGGGACGTCAACTGTGACCCGATCTCGGGTGTGTGCTCAGCTGGATGTCAGGCTGGGTGGAAAACCCAGCGCTGCACTCAAGGTACGTACGGTGTACAATCATCAACATAGCTTTGTACTGAAGGTACTGCGCACGGTCATCGATATAGCGTTGTACTGAAGGTACGGTGTACGGGCATCAGCACAGCTTTTACTGCAGGTACGATGTACGGTCATCAACGTAGCTTTGTACTGAAGGTACGGTGTACGGGCATCAACGTAGCTTTGTACTGAAGGTACGGTGTACGGGCATCAACGTAGCTTTGTACAGAAGACGGTGTACGGTCATCAGCATAGACTTGAAGAGAAGATACGTTAAGTTAAGCCGGGGTCAAGTGTTGACTGTACTCATCGAAAAGCAGGAGCTAGGGGTATTTTCCCAGTACAATGGACCTGTAAATACTGTACATGGCGCCTGTCTTTTTCGTCACGACTAATGGAAGATTAGCTCAACTTTTTATTGACTTCATGTTGCTAAACTGCTTCGAGATCACTTGCACTTGCACTTTTTCCGCAGCTGTGGACCCACCTGTAAACCTAGCCGTTACTGACGTCACGGAAGGAGGGTTCAATGTCACGTGGTCTCCATCCCGTGACCCTGACCTTCAGGGGTACCGTGTCGTGGTGCTGAGGCTGGACCTGACGACAGCTGTCAATCACAGCACGGACCGGGCGTCATGCATGGTGGCCGGGCTGCCATCGGAAACTGATTACGTCATCGAGGTGACGTCACTGGTCCTGTCGGAGGGTCGGAGGTCACAGAGCGAGGAGGCGATCATGCGCGCAGCCACTGGTACGGAGTGCTTTGTTCCTTGTTATTAGCGGCCATATAAATTGAATTATATCTTAACAGAGACCATTATTGCAAAGTTTTGTCTCATTTGGATAGGTACAAGTAACTATGGTATAGTTTATGAAAAATAACAAGGTACATTTATCTCGTTTTAAATTATTTCATAATTCCATCAGGTATTATCTAGTTCTATGCCTATAAGCTTAGCATCAGACACGATTCGAGATAGTCTCGTATGCAAGAACGTAGAATTGCCCCAGGCAAGTTTCTGGATACGCGTGGTCTATCCAGAAGGTTTATGGATAGACAACGGATCTGGAAACTGATTTTAACCGTGCATTTCCAGGAGCGCGTTCCTCCACAGACCTGCAGTTCGTTGAAGTGACCGACTTCATGCTGGTCTTCACCTGGGTGCCTCCCGACGCGGCTGTGACCGGGTACCGCATCATGTACGGGCAGGGGGAGGCGACGGAGCGGCTCATCCCCTCCCCGGGTCCCGGCGCTAGATCTGCAGTCATCACGGGGCTCCAGCCCGACACGATATACAAGGTAGCGATCACTACAATCGGAGTTTACCGAGAGAGCTCGCCTCTAGTTGGACAGAGCAGGACAGGTGAGTTACTGAGTGGTCCTTGACTAGCATATATATACCAATATGCTTGCAGCTCGTTTAGTGGCCTCAAGACCGTGTCATTGGAAGAGCAGCATCTAAGCCAAAATTTAACTAGCAAAAAAAGATGTTACAAAAGTTATGAATGGATAAATGAATGGATGAATGAATGTCTCTCTCTGTATATATATATATATAGACACACACATATACGCACATACACACACACACACACACACACACACATATATATATATATATATATATATATATATATACAGAGAGAGAGAGAGAGTCAGTCTAAATAAAGGCCATTCATTCATTTATCCATTCATCCATCCGTTCATTCATTCATTCATTCATTCATATTGTCCTTGTTGTCGTGGCTATGATATATTCCCTTGATTGTTTCCCCTTCTAGCGCCTGTGCCGACAACACCGAGTCCAGCTACTACCACTCGGCGGACCAGTCGGATGACTACCGTCCTTTCCACAAGCTCGTCCTCTTCAAGCACTCCGGCGAAGACGTCGGAGTCTGCAGGAGACCAGATATCGTCTGACGACGGTAAGTGTTTATCAGCGATGCTTTTAGAGTAAAACCTAACGCTCGTAGAGTAAAACCAGCGCCCCCAGAGTAAAACTAGCTCCCCCAAAGTAAAACCAGCTCCCACCCTATCAGAGTAAAAATAGCGCCCCTAGAAAAAAGAAAACAGCACCCCACAGTAAAACTAGCGCCCCTAGAGTAAAACCAGCACCCCCAGAGTAAAACCAGCTCCCCAAGAGTAAACCTAGCGCCCCTAGATAGAGTAAAACCAGCTCCTCCAGAATAAAACCAGCTCCCTCAGAGTAAAACTAGCACTCCCAGAGTAAAACCAGCACACCCCTAGTAAAACCAGCTCCCCCAGAGTAAACCTAGCGCCCCTAGAGTAAAACCAGCTCCTCCAGAGTAAAACCAGCACTCCCAGAGTAAAACCAGCACCTCAGAGTAAAACCAGCTCCATCAGAGTAAAACCAGCACTCCCAGAATAAAACCAGAACCCCCAGAGTAAAACCAGCTCCCCCAGAGTAAAACCAGCACACCCAGAGTAAAAGCAGCACTCCCAGAGTAAAACCAGAACCCCCAGAGTAAAACCAGCTCCCCCAGAGTAAAATCAGCACCCCAAGAGTAAAACCAGCTCCCCCAGAGTAAAACCAGCTCCTCCAGAGTAAAACCAGCACTCCCAGAGTAAAACCAGCTCCTCTAGAGTAAAACTAGCGCCCCTAGAGTAAAACCAGCACTCCCAGAGTAAAACCAGCTCCCCCAGAGTAAAACCAGCTCCATCAGAGTAAAACCAGCTCCCCCAGAGTAAAACCAGCTCCATCAGAGTAAAATCAGCTCCCTCAGAGTAAAACCAGCTCCATCAGAGTAAAACCAGCACCCCTAGAGTAAAACCAACTCCCCCAGAGTAAAACCATCACTCCCAGAGTAAAACCAGCTCTCCCAGAGTAAAACTAGCGCCCCTAGAGTAAGGCCTTGTGTGGCAAAGGCCTTAGAGTATTACATACAGAGATTAATGTATCAATCTGTTCTCTCAGATGACGCTGGAAGCGACAGTGATTACTATTATTACAGTGATTCCTATTATGACTCGGAACCAGAGCCGCCGATTCCTACAACAGAGTCCAACGAAGCTGGTAAGTTGGTGATTTACTTCCATGAAAAACGTATTCCTTCTTGTTCAGGCCTATTTGTAAACACATTAGAGCCATGTGTTTACTTGATGAAGAATGAAACAAAATGTAGTAAGGTAACATTTGGAAAGGAAATGCATAATGTTTATCTTCACATAGTTAATAGTAAAGCTTAACAAACTACTGCTCTGTCTACTTTTTACTTAAATACATTCATATGCGTTCACTACAGGGTATCATTTACCATGGTAACAGTCTTCTGGTCAGAGTGATATTTTTTTTTAGTAGTAGAAGAAGAAATGGACCAACAAAGATAGAAATAATAACATCCCTTCTGCTTCATGTTTTCTGTACAGCAAGCAGCAAATCACCGGATGACGTCAGGCAAACGTCATCATATCAGGTTTGCAGCTTTCGAGAACATTTACTAGTTCATCATGGAAGATATGTAGAAGATGAAGTTGTTCATGCCAGTAGCTTTGCAAATTTCAGTCATATTGTACATTGACTCAATTCTACCCTGAAGACAGTATCGATGGTATTTGTGCAACATGTTTCTCTCCAAATCCATAGGGTGTTTTTAAAATTTTGTCTTGGCCAAGTCAGCTTTAAAGACTAATTGTCATCATCTCCAAAACATGTGTACTCAATATTGATAACAAGCAATTTCATTGCAAGCAGCCACCTTATATTGCTCAATGTGTACTAATATCTGTTGTTCCAATGATTGAAGCCTGTAGAGGTGATGACAACAGCTGCTGTGGAAGAGACAGAGGTACGCACAAAGCTCCTTAATTACAATTAAGGTGTAACAACTTGACAGTTAAGATACGCTTCATGCTTAATTATCCACACAGGTAAATGCCACCAGCAGCAGCCATCATAAAATTCACTGAAGTCTAAATTACAACTGAAGGACTAGCCTAAAGATTCATGAATAAATAAAAGAAGTAAAAGTACAGAAAACCTTACGTTTTTTAAATATCTATCAATCTATGACAATCAATCGAGATCTTTATTTACTATCACATACATATTCATGTACACATACATATTCATGTACAGATACAGATTCATGTACAGATACAGATCTAGATTGTCCGAGTATTGACCGTGTCAATTCCTACACCCCGTGTAAATTATATTTGCAACATCTGTAGCAAGATTTGTATTCGTGTGACAAACGTAGACATTTATTGCCCGAAAAACATCACCGTCATAATCTCGTTTCTTCATCAGTAGTTGGATATCAGATAAATGATGTTAGTCTGGTTCAATGATCACTGCCATATGCACAGATTCCAACAATTTTGAGAACAAAAATGAAACATGTAAACACACACAGATATTGTGCTCCAGTTAAAAAAAAAAGCAAACATAGTGAGTATACAAATACAATCCAGTTCTGATTTTCAAAGTTTTGATAAGTTCTAATTTTGCTAATGACCTAATGGTCTTATGCAGGAGGAAAAGGCACTGGGCATGCTCCAGTCCATCACAAGCGCGCTGGATGAGGTCGACATGTCCGACCCGGCAACTCTGGAGTCTGTGGGAGGATGTAAGTACAGGATACACCAGTTCTAGAGTCACAGAGAGAAGATCTTTCTTTCTCTACCAAGAGATGTCATACGAGCAAAGGGTAAACTGGGTAACGGAACAACGAATGAACCAAATATGACTAATAGATTAGCCATATAATCCATTTCAAACAAGCGTATAAGTACTATAAGTATGGCCATGACATATTTTGTTACAACATTGTGTTCTTTAATTCTTTCCTTTCAAAGCTCTATTGGAGTCCGTTGGCGCACTGCTCGAAGGACCAAAGGAAGATGCGGAAGAGAAACCGGGTGATGATGGCCTCAGTTCTGCCCCCGCGGAGGACGAGAGTCTCTCTCCAGAGGAGCGCCTTCAAAAGGCTGAACAAAAGAAACAAGAGAATGATGCTAAGGTAGGAGTAAGTCATTACGCTTTGCTCAACACCCTCCAACACTGTATCAACTCAATTCAAATGTTTGTTTTACCTGAGCATACATGAATTACTATTGCCATTGACTTGTATGGACAGCTGTGAAATTTAATGAATGTCCCAAGGGTATGCATATGAAAATAGGATCTTTGGAATGAGGTTTCCCTATGTTGTTAATATTATGGTAAATTAAACAACCTTTAGCGACCTGTTAACCATTAGTACACCTGATAATTTCAGATTACAGGAACCACTATTATAGCAACAATAGCTTATCGTCATAGGTAAATAACTGTAATCACTTTACATACAGAGACGCAATATTGTCCAGGAAAGCCGCCGGGTTCTGGAGAAGATGGAAAATGCCATGATCAAGACCCTGAAGCCTGGTGACCCGCCTGTGTCGCTCACAAAAGGCGGAGTCACCCTGAGTGCTCAAAAGATTTTGGGCTCTGAGTTTGGGGGCCAGACCGTGCAGACAGAGGAAGGATGCTTCCAGCTTCCGTCTCAAGCCGCACTTTTCTCCGAATTCGAACATGCGCCGCAAAGTGTCACTGTTAAAGTAGGTGCCAGTGTCCTGCTCTAGTCATCAATGATCCCTTCCCTTCATTTCCATGGTGGCAGGGTTATTAAAGTAATGTAAATGATGTAAATCGATTTTAAGCCAGATCGCTGTTTTCTTCAGATAACCTACTGGTATTGTCCTATAGATGTCATTGACCTCTTTTGTTTCAAGGGTAATAATGGTAGTTCCAGTTCTTCCATTCGTCGTGTTTATGACCATAAAATTTATACATACAACATGGGTTTCTTGTCTTTCAGATGAAGCAGTTTGAACAAAACCCGTTCACCTGGGGCTCCGGGGAACACCAGGTCCGGTCATCGGTCGTAGAGCTGTCACTTCAACAGGAGAACAACGAAGTAATGACCTTCCGCAACCTCACCGAGGATTTCATCATCACCATTCCAGGCAATCCCAATAACAAGCCGGCGACAAAGATCATAACCATCCCTTCGGCCGGAAAAAGAAGCGCCAGGTATCATTTCTACAACCTTACCACCATGGCAGAGGGATTCCTGGTCACCATCATACCGTTAAACGCAAGCGTAGTGTACCGCGTGTCGGGTAGACGCGGGGGCCGCCCTGACGACCAGAACTACAACGTGTCCATGGAGACGTACCTTCTTCCCGAGCAGTGTTCCCTAACTAAAAGCCTGGGGGGCGATGAAGGCGACACGGACAAGACAAAGGCAACAATGTTCATCCAAGGGGAGGAGGATCCGGGAGAATACTACGTCAAAGTTCAGGTTCTAGGTCAGCATTTTGCCATTCCCTTTAATGCTACAATGCATTAATGCTTGACATACTAGATAGGATCGGTGGAAGCTGTTTGCACCTAATGACAATGATACATGATGGTTAACATATCTTTTGTTGTGAACAAAAAATGTCTGCGTGAAGACTTTTATGGATAATTATAGAATTGGTTAGATACCGAAAAACCACACCAAGACACTACAATAGTAACATTTGATTTGTCGCCCCTACTAATATAAGGGATTATGTCGAATATGTGTATATGTATTATTTGAACGGAAATCGGGATCTGATAAAAAGAGAATATTTCTATACTTTGACTATATATTTTGTAATTGCCTTATTTAGTCAACAGGTACCACTGGAAATATAACAGTCGCCTTTGTAAGCACATGTCTAATTTCTATAAATGCACACTTTTACCACTTACTGATGCTGTTTCCATTTTTCAGGTCCAGTGACCGAGTGTGGCTTCGAAAACAAGTCTGACCCTGGGGATGCCCGTGACTTCTTCGCCTACGAGATCCAGTGGGCCCGTCTGAAGTGTCTCTACTGGAACGAGACCCTGGAAGCCTGGATGACAGACGGTTGTGCGGTACGTAACGTCACAGTAACTGTTCTTCCTGTTGGTCCATATTCGGGTAGAAACTAAAATTATTGTGTAAGCAGTCCATAGCACAAACGACCTGTATATCTGGAGAAGTAACCGCGAAAATAGCGTCAATGAAAGCACTTCGACCAGTTCCAGGTTTACAGTAATATTTAAATGCGAGAGGAAGTAAGTTTAAGTAAAATTTAAGTAAAATTCAATTCAATATTTAATATTTAAGAATAAAATGTGTCAAAATGTGATAATGACATCACATGTATTTTGCCGTTCCCCACAGATTAGCAACCAGTCTAGTATCAACAGCACCATCTGCCACTGTAACCATCTAACAGCGTTCGGGAGTGACTTCACCATGCCGCCCAACGCCATGGACTTTGGGAAGTTGGAGTTCAGCGATCAACGGTGCGGTTTCGACAACCGTTTGCGTGGTGTTCCGTTTGTTCGGACTCGCAATGGCCCCTTTACAAGTGATCGGGGAATTCAAGAAGAAGGTACATTTATAATTACCCATTGATAAGATGTGCAAATACTAGTGTAGCAAATCAGTGAGGCCAGATAATGTATATTGTAATATTCGTGAGCATTTTCGACATAATGTATTAAACCAACACAGATTAACTTTCATGCCAATATGTAATATATAAAGTTGTGTTAATTTCTACCCATTCATTGCTACATGAATTGTTATACTGAATAAAGGTCAATGTGAAATGAGAATGAGAAACCGATGGGGCCAGATAATGTAAATCGTAACATTCATGACCATTCGATCTTTCTTTCGTGACTATGTGGAGTACCTGTTATCCCTAAACATTCGTGGTGAACACCACCCGTGTTTATCATACTTACATCCGCAGAACGGGGAACTTTATTGCTTTTGCTCTATGTCTTCTTTGTCCGGTAAAAAGATAAGTTCAATGTTGGTTACTGGTGCTGTAGCAGAAACCATGTGGTGTAGGGTTACATACGCGAATGCCCGATCCTAAAACTTAAACCCATTCAGGCTTAGAAGCAGATAGGCACAGCTCTGGATACGTTAGTATTTTTTATTTAAATGTAGCCTCTGTATGATTCTCTTTCAATTTCACTTTAATAGCGAGCACAGCGAAGAAGTCCAGCGTATTATAACGTTACGTGATGTTTTATTGCTGTTTAGGTTTTTGCACGAGGCAGCCAGGTGACGCTGACCTTCAGCAAAGCGGAACATCTGGGTACCGTGGAGCATGAAAACACCACGACTACCGAAAGTTGGGCCACGTTCTAACATGAATGTGTGTTTGTCGCATGAAAACTGATTAACTTGTATGTGTGTACGTACTTGATCGACTGCTATGGGAACGGTGAGTGAGCGAGTGAGTGTGTTTGCGTGTGTGTGTGTGTGTGTGTGTGTGTGTGTGTGTGTTTATTTTGTGTGTGTGTGTGTGTGTGTGTGTGTGTTTGTGTATGTGTGCGTACGTGCGTGTGTTCTCATAAATGCTTACGTACGTACGTGCGTGTGTACAGGTGTGTGTGCGTGCGTGCGTGCGTGTACAACATGTATGTGTGTTTGTGTGTGTATGTTTGTGTGTGGGTGCTTGTGAGCGTGCGTCCGCGTGTACGTATTTGTGCTTGCGTTCCTGTGTACATGTGTGTGTTCGTGTTTGTGTGAGTGTGTGTGTGTGTGTGTGTGTGTGTGTGTGTGCGCGCGTGTGTATCCGTGTGCGTGTGTGTAAATGTCTGTGCGTGCGCGCGCGAGCATGCGTATGTGTGTGTGCGTTTGAGTCTGAAAGCAGCATAACTCGAGAAGACAATGATGAATTATAAATGAAAATCATATTTGGCACATGGGTAGAATTTGGTAAGAGGAACAAACGATTCGATTTTGGACCCCCTTTCGGCTTTCCTTGGTATTGCAGCAGTGATCTGAACATGCTAGTTGTATATGTGAGGATTCACTTTTGTACTCAATGATTACAAAACAAAAGCAGTTAATGGAATACATTACCAGACTTTTGAACAGCAAAAAAAAAACAATCTTTGACATTCAGTATTGCATTCTTGAGTAGCAACGGTTATTTCGAGAAAATACTATAATAAGCATATGTATACATTTATTTGAAGTTGTTTGTGTCTTAACTTATCCATTGTTACATGCATGTATTATAATTATTATATCTTTATTAGGTTATATGTATAAAGTTATGACGAGAAGGCTAAAACTTTATGTCCAACGTTAAGTAAAAATTTTCAGTTGACTCGGTCAGCCTTGTTTATGGATTGTCTACTGCAGCTTCCGGGACGTGACGTCGGAAACACGTGATTGCAGCGGAGGGTCATACGTGTCAGGTAACCTGTGTCGCCCTCCGTCTCTGTTTAGTGTCCGCCAGTTGGCCTGAATATACACAGCCTCATTCACTCCAATTGAAATGAAATCCGGTTCTGAGTCCAGAATTTCCACTTTGTCCAGTGAGACGGAGTGTCCTAGAGATTCTATGTGTATATGTCTGAATTGGCGGAGCTTGGTCGTTAGTGTTCACCTTTTTTACCAATGTATGTTACTTAACGCTGACCCTTGTTTGTTTCATCATGGCAAGAGGTGTGGACATAAATTTTTAGCCTTTTCGTCATAATGTATTATACCAACACAGATGAACTTTCATGCTAGTAATATGTAGTATATAAAGTTGTGTTCATGTCTACTCATTTATTGTTAGATGAATTAGTATACTGAATAAAGATAGATGTGCGATAAAAATAAAGAAACAGAGGGGATAGATGATGTATAATAGTATTATCATATGTATCAAGTTAGGCTACTTAAAGTTCTCAGTTGGTGTAAGGCGTACCACGGTGCCAGTGTACTGATTTTTCAGGTCCTTTCGGAAAAATGCCATAAATCAGCCGAGTTATGACCCTTCCTAAAAGGATCCTTCGTAGGATGTACGTCATACTGGAGGTAACTTACATATATAGCTTCTGGGTGTACGTCATACTGGAGGTAACTTACATATATAGCTTCTGGGTGTACGTCATACTGGAGGTAACTTACATATATAGCTTCTGGGTGTACGTCATGCTGGAGGTAACTTACATATATAGCTTCTAGGTGTACGTCATGCTGGAGGTAACTTACATATATAGCTTCTGGGTGTTATGGGGCCAGATTTAGATCAAAGTTACAGCAAGGAGCGATAAATAGTTGTTTTGTTTGATTATGCAAGCCGACATGAGTTCTACTCTTGATCAGCCTATTGGTAACAGAAGAGAGGCTCCACAGGATGGAATTAGCGCGCTAATCAAATGCGAAACGGTAGGCGGGGCAGAGGCAGTGGGTTATCACTCAAACTTTTGCATATCCAGGCTGGAGTTAGCTCATTACAATATTACAGTAGCTTATTATCATATTAAAATGAGATCTTTCCTGGGGTAGCCTGTGGGACGCCTTACACCAACAGAGTTGTTTGTGTCTGCATGTCAATCTTACATGTATTATATCATACTGTCTGAATAAAGTTTGATGTGAAAAATCATTTTCTTTGTTTTATTCGATGTTATGCCTGTCGGTAAATGCCTCATTATGCCAGAAGGTACCAAAATTTTTATTGGAATTTCCTTTCTTTACTGTTTTTTTACGCTAACCTAACCCAGCTTTTGAAAGGGTAGCCCCGACCAGGGGTGAGTGTCTGCATTTGGGTTAGCGTAAAAAAAACAGTGCAAAAAAAAAGCCCGATAAAAGCCCCAAAACACGCCAAAAATAAGCCAAAACCTTAAACCTCTGGTTGGAGAGAACAGTGTAGGCCTCTCTTTTTTCATATTCATCATTCGTGAAAATTAAAAATGTTGAAAAAAATACAAGGGGCAGAAGATCAAAACGCCTAATTTGATACTGTAGGCCATTTTTAACCAATTGTTAAAAAAAGCATAAAGATCTTTGTCTGGTTTCCAAATGTTCAGAAGGGATAGGCAGGGACAGAGAGGGGGTGGTCTGGCAACATTCGTCTTAGAAGACATCCCTGCTCGTAGGCTTCTAGATCTTGAATGTAATGAACTTGAAGTGATGTGGGTTCAACTACGTCCTCATTGGCTCCCTAGAACTGTTCCAGTGCTCATTCTGGGGGTAGTGTACCATCCTCCGAGTAGAAACAACACGGATGGGATTAAAGAGTTGACTAATCACCTCATCACTACACTCGATCATATATGTAGTCGTCAACCCCAAGCTGGCATTCTGCTGTGTGGGGATTTCAATGGTCTTCCTCTGCGGCCGTTAGTGGCGGCATACCCCGCACTAAAGCAGATAGTCAAACAGCCAACGAGGGGCTCAGCTACCCTGGACATTATTTTAATTAACCTTGCTCAACACTACTCCGAACCGCGAATCATCCCACCTATTGGGAACAGTGACCATGCTTGTGTCCTACTTCAGTCTGGAGTGCAAGTGGCAAAGCAGTCATCTGTAAAACTCCCCCGTCGTGTGATCAAATACTCCAAGAAGACGGACTTTGGTGTGGCCCTAGCCACTCAGAACTGGTCTGCGGTGTTTGAGTCTAGCTCTGTGGACGAGAAGGTTGCTATGTTCTACTCTATACTCATGTCCCTTGTGGACTCTCACTTCCCTGTCAGGATTAAGACTGTACTGACAAATGATAAGATCTGGATTACTCAAAGGGTACATAGCGTCATTGCAAGCAGGCAAGCTGAGTTCAAGCGACACGGAAAGTCACCTTTGTGGAGGAGTCTCAGAAACAGGGCAAAGACTGTGGTCAGACAAGCCAAGAACTGGCATTACCGTAACCACATACAACACCTCAAGAGCGAGAGCCCTCACAAATGGTGGTCATGCATTAACAAAGAACTGGGAAGATCACATGCGACGAGCACACGGGTTACCACACATGAGCAAGGGGATGGTCAGGCAGCTGAGAAGATCAGTCAACATTTTGCAGAGGCCTGGTGTCAAAGCCAGTGTCTACACATGTTCCCACTCCCTCTCACTGCACCAGGCCCGGACCTGTGCACCATTGGGGAAGTCAAGGTTCTCCTGAAAGCCATTAACACCAGGAAGTCGTGCGGGCCAGATAATCTCCCCAATTGGGTTCTGAAGGAATTCGCTGAGGACCTGGCACCAGTAATCACACATGTGTTCAATGCCTCTTACAGTGAGGGCACAGTACCAGTAATCTGGAAGTCCGCAAATGTCGTCCCAGTGCCCAAGTCTGCTGGTTCTTCGGACGTTTCCAACATGAGACCGGTGTCACTTCTGTCAGTCCTTGCAAAACTGTTAGAGAAGTGTGTCCTGAAAAGGCTGCTTCCCTCATTACGTACAGTCATCAAGGACCAATACGCGTACATGCAGGGGTCGTCAACAACAATCGCCCTAGTGCGCATGGTGCACACCTGGTTGACTGCATTGGACTCCTGAAAGCCAACCGTGATACGTGCGGTATTTGCGGACATGAGCAAAGCGTTCGACCGCGTGGACCATGCTCTGCTCCTCCAGGCTGTGATCGACCTCCAGGTCGGCTCCAGAATGGTGGCTTGGATTCATAACTACTTGACAGACAGACAGCAGAGAGTAGTGGCTTCTGGGGAAACGAGCTCCTGGCGCACTTTGACATCCGGTGTACCCCAAGGCGGAGTTATTTCCCCGTACTTGTTTCTGCTGTTCATGAGTACCCGTAGAACAGTCCACCCAGACACCATGAACGTCGGTTACGCGGATGACATCACTTTGTCGAGAACCATCTTGGCACTTAAGGCGAACGACGATAGGTCAGTTGAGGAGGAGTCATCCAACCTTGACTCTTGGGCTTGTGAACAGAAGATGACTTTGAATGGCAAGAAGAGCCAACTGCTCCAGATCTGCTTTTGCAGAAGTGTTCCCGTGCCACCTACATTGACTCTTGGGGGAGAACCAGTGCCAGTCGTTGACTCAGCAAAAGGTCTAGGTTTTATCTTAGATAAAGGTCTTACCTTTGACGAGCAGGTCAACTCGATGGTGACGAAAGCCTCACGGAGGCTACACTTCCTTAGACTACTTACCAAACAAGGAATGAGTGTCTCTGACCTCATCCAGTTGTACACAGCCCTTGTTAGGCCTGTGCTGGAGTACGGCCACGTGCTCCTAGTGGGTTGTAGCAAGAAACAGGAACTGTCTCTCGAGAGAGTGCAGAGGAGAGCCTTGAAGATCATCTCTCTGGGGGGAAGGAGGAATGTTCCCGACCTCCCTACACTCCGAGAAAGACGGGAACTTGCGGCTGTCAAGCTGTTCAAGCGCATGCTCAGCCCTGACCACCCTCTACACGATTTGGTACCGGGAGCCAGGTCGGACAGCACAGGGAGGTGTTTGAGGAACTCTGGGGGAATCACGGTGCCCAAGGCACGGACTAACAGACTGTACAACTCGTTCCTCCACTGCACAATCAGATTGTACAATAGCCAAACGCAGACCTAGTGTTCTAGTGTTTCATGTCCCACTTTTGTATGTAATTGTCTTGTGCATTTCTATACTTATGTAAAGTCCACACAATTCAGGAGTACTACGTACCCCTGCTATGTAGACTGTTCTTAATAAAATTGAAAATTGAAATTGAAATTGAAATTTATAACATACCAGCGACACAAGATCAAAATGTCTGATGTTGATATGGCATTTCTGAATATTGATTTGTCAATTCCTGAAAAGACTCTTTAATTTTTATTGGGAAAGTTGGATTGAATGGATTCAAAAGGCCTTTGAATGATGCTAACTATCTGATCTCTAGCTCTTCCCTCATGACCACAATAAAAAACGGCATGCAGCCGATTTGAGCTTCTAATGAAAAAAGATCGGTCCAAAAACGTGCATGTGACGTCGGAGACCTAGATATATAGTGTTGAAGGCATGAAGAAGTGTATTTGTACAGAAATGTTCCATGTTCAAAAGATACACACACTGCTTCGGGAGCCCATTTTTTTTTTATTTCAATCCGTTGAATTGTTAGATATGCTCTAATATCCGGTGACATGCAATAATGAATCGCGATATCGATAGAACATATTACACTGTCAACTTTGGAATAGACAAGGTCGCAGAACACGAAAATGCTTGCGTCATAGAATGGCGTACGTCACATACGTCATATTTCCAACAAGTTTTGATGACGTAAAGGCACATACACATTCGATCGAATGCATCGAACGCACATCGAAATGACGTTCAGAACGCGTTCGAATTTGACGGATATGACGTAGTTAAACTGTGAAGCAGGCAGTCTGGTGGTCTTTGACACGGCGGTCAATTTTTAGGGTAAAGTTTCCAATTCTACGGAGGGGTATCAGGTTACCGGGGTTCCACGCGCGGCTTCCGTGGGGCCAGTCTCAACGGTAAACATTTTGTTAAGCAATAATTAACAGTTTCATGGGGACTACCTTGTCCAAATGTGGTAAAATCAGCACGGCATGTACCTCATATGATGTTGTTTTTATTACAACGCTTAAATGTGTGTGAAATCACTCTCAACGCGTCAAATGCTTATTCTAGAACAAGCGACGTCAATAACCAAACAACTGATTTAAACCGACCCCAAATCTTCAAGAAAATCCCACATTTTTGCATTTTAGAGAACAGTATAACAAAATTAAGATTTGAGTCGGACAGTTTTCTTTATTTCAAAGTTAAAGTGTTGCTAAGACCTAAAAATTCGCCAAAAAAGGCAGTTTTTCAACTTCCAAGACCGATAATTCCAGAATGCCGCCATCTTTAAAAAATCCGTCCGACACAGATCGAGATTTGTGCCTTGCCTACAATTTAAAACGTTTCTGTGGTAAATTGAATTTACTTTGTTGCGGTTTAAATACCATGTTTGCAAGCATGTCAGGCCGTGTGAGTAAGTGCAGGGGGTAACTTATATCCCCGTAAACAACAATTGCGATCGTCAAGGTCACACACGATGACGGCAGTAGCTTCGTTACATGTTACATAGCAACTATAAAACAGGGCATAGATGTACTGTCCCGAAATTGGTTCATATTTGTAAAAAGGCTGATTTTTAACTGTTAGGTGGTACCCGTGTAAAAACGGGCTTGAAGCCGCGGGTTTACGGTATGCGACCGCAGGTGACCCCGGATCGAACGAACGTTCGGTTCGATTAACGCGTCATATCGAACACGATTCGATTCGAATGACGTCATATCGAACATGATTCGGTTCGATTAAAAGGTTGGAATATTTGGGCCCAAATTTGACCATCGTGTGAGCTCATTTATTGATGACCACTTCCGGTCTGGACTTGCTTCGACGGCCTCTAAGGTGCGTCCTCGTCTTCGTTGTCGATATTCTGTAAAAAAATATTCTGTAAATAAAAAAGTGTAGTGGTGATCATGTTTGACATTGAATCCAAAGACCCGAGTTCGAATCTCGATGGGAGTTAACATTTTTCCCAAAACAAAGAGCATGAAAAAAGTCGAAGGTACCAGCGACATAAGATCAAAACGCCTGATTTGATATGGTGGGACCTCTTTAATCTATTGTTAAAGCATTAAAAATGTTAAAAACATGGACGAAACCTAATGCCAGGTATGCATTTAAAGTTAGTGGCTCCTTGCGAACTGTTCTATGATTGTTTATTGTTATGTATTTAATTTGTATAATTAATTTCTAATTTGTATAAGTAGGGGAATTCTATAACTCTACTGTGTTCGAAATAACCTTGTCGGGACATCACGCAGACGAGGGGAGATGCACCGTGTGGGCTACAGACGAGATACAGCCTGCTCCTGAAGGAGTCCAGCGGGGGGACTGTTCACTACATACGCAGAGAGGTTGTTCCACGCAGGGATGGGTCTGGCTTTCTATGCAACTTTGGACTGTTACAGGTCGGCCGCAGTTTCTTGTATTTATGAGCGTGTTTGGAATGAGACGAGTGGTTGACATCATCATCAGCCATGAGTTTGACGCCCCTCCTATACCTTGGTGTTAGAACCTCAATTATCTAGTAAGTAGATATATTTCAGACGAAAAATGGCCTCAAGGCAATCAGAACAATTGCGTTGTGTTGTAAATTTTATTAATGGTGCAGCTTAAAAATATATTATAAAATATCTTTGATGTGAAGTAAATCACTAATGCTAAGCAATATATGGCTGTTAAACAGTTGTTTTTTCATCGTAATTCTTGTAATACCATGCTTATCGTTTATCAAGACCACAGCTTAAAAACATATTTGTTGTGATGGTATAATTTCCTTAAAAGCACGACAACATACGTCTTGTTAGAGCAGTCCCAATGCTAGCCAGTGTAAATTGTGAAACATTTGTTTTCTCGTCAAACAATTCTCACATGTTGTGACTACATGTTTATAGCTTCTAAGTAGCACAGCTACAAAACGCTTCATCTTTGTGATAAAATTTCTAAAAAAACACTGGGAGTAACCCAACAATATGTAATTGTTAAACAGTTGTTGTATCATCACGAGGTCCTTACTTGTATTGCTCGCCTCTTATTAAAGCTACAGATGGAAAACTTAATTTTGTGATGGTGCAATTTCTTTGAGTATTCCTCTTGTTAGTGACTTATTAATGCTAACCAATGTAATGTGTTAAACAGCTGTTAAAGTTTTTTTATTCACCAGTAGCCTCGTAATAATACAATTAAAAAGTTTTTTTTTGGATGGTGCAATTTCTAAAAAAAAAACGAAGTGTAATTGTTGAAAAGCTGTTTTGTCAACGCAAGGTCCTTAATTGTAATACTTGTCGCTTAATAAAGTCATTGCTTAAATAGACATAATTGTTGTGATGGTACAATTTCATTAAGAAAGCATTGAATTATTCTAAGACTTGTTGTTTATAGTTAAAGAGTTTGACTTGTTCCAACACAAAAAGGGAACTCACCATAAATTCAGTCGGCTGATCCCGTCAACCTTCGTCAGATTTGTGATGCAATCGCTGACTTCCCGGAAGTCGGAAACGTGATGACGTCAGGAGTGCATCAAAAGTGGCGGGAAGACGGTATCTCCCACCATCGCGGTTCAGAGGGGGTTGGTGGGCCCTGATGTAAACTGCCTCCTTCACGCCTCTCACAAAGTAATCCTGCTCCGTATCTAGAATGCGCACCTTGTCCAATGTAACTGTATGTCCGGGGGACTCGATGTGTATGTGTTGCGACACTTCCGATGTGTTTGAACTAGGGCGCCTGTGTTCCAAAAATCTAGTCTTGAGTAGTTTTGTGTTGGAACAAGTCAAACTCTTTAACTATGGATTCTACCAACACAGATGAACTTTCATTCGAAGACTTGTTGTTGGTGACCTTTTATGCTAACCAATGCAACATTTTAACATGTTTTCACAACAAAATACTCTCACAAGTTCCGGTTATATGCTAATTTTTTCCTAATAGCACAGCTTACTAACGCAATTTTTGTGATGGTACAATTTTAATAAAAG